GAGTTGGTGAAGATCTTTTCTCATTGTGTAGGCTGTCATTTTGTCTTGTTGACCGTGTCCTTTGCTTTACAGAAGCTTTTCAGTTTCAGGAGGTCCCATTTATTAATTGTTTCTCTCAGTGTCTGTGCTGCTTGGAAGTGCTGGAAGTATATTTAGGAAGTGGTCTCCTGTACCAGTGCGTTCAAGTGAGAGAGGTTCAGTGTGGCTGGCTTTATGTTGAGGTCTTTGATCCATTTGAACTTGAGTTTTGTCCTTGGTGATAGATATGGGTCTATTTTCATTCATCTACATGTTGATACTCAGTTATGCCAGCACCACTTGTTAAATATGCTTTCTTTTTTCCATTTGCTACTTTTTGCTTCTTGATCAAAAATCAGGTGTTCGAAGATATGTGGATTGATATCCAGGTCTTCTATTCAGTTCCATCAGTCCTCCTGTCTGTTCTTATGCCAATACCAGGCTGTTTTCAGTACTGTAGCTCTGTAGTAGAGTTTGGAGTCAGGGATTGTGATGCCTCCAGAAGTTCTTTTATTGCACGGGATTGTTTTGACTGTCCTGGGTTTTTTGCTTTTCCATATGAAGTTGAATATTGTTCTTTTGAGGTCTATGGAGAATTTTTCTGGGCATTGCATTGAAAAATCAAACATTTCTTAACCATAAAAATATACAATATAAATATTTCACATTGAGTCTTACAATATAAATATTTCACATTGACTTTAGCCCCAGAACCTATAACACTTAAGATATGCTGTATACAATAGAAATATGAGCCATAGTGCATAACTTTTAATTTTTATTTCTCCCTAAGACAGTCTCTCTGTATAGCTCTGGCTGTCCTGGAGTCACTGTGAAGACCATGCTCGCAAATGCAAAGAGATCCACCTGCCTCTAGAGTTTGGGGATTAAAGGGATGTGCCACCACACATGGCAATAAGTTTGAATTCTCTGCTAGTTCTTTTAGAAAAAATAAGAACAAACAGGTATAATTTATGTATTTTAATATATATCCAGAACACCATTTCAACATGTATTCAGTGTAAGAAATCATGAATAAAATTTATTTTACATTCTGTTTTTGTATTAAATCTTTGAAACTTGATACATACTTTATACTTAAAGCTCATCTTATGTGAACTAGGCATATTTCAAGTACTCCGTAGCCTCATGTGACATGCAGCTATTCTACTATATAAGGCAGTCTAGGTCTGCCTCAAAGGTACCTACTTTTCTAGTATAAGTATCTGTTCTCTATTGTTCTGTTTATAAATGAGACTCAATTTTCAAAAGCTGGGGTAAAAACCTGCCAGCTCAGAGAGGCTGCTTTGCAATTAGCTAACCTCTCTGAAAGACCCCTGCTTCCTCTTCCCCAAACCAGAAAAGGATGCGCCACTCTAAGCCCCACCCTACTACTTCCTGTGTCTCTCTATCTCTCCTGGATGCCTTGGGATCCTCTACGATTTCTTTCTGTCAACTAGTTGCTAATGCAACCTCCTAATCCAAGGTTAATTTTGTATAATTAATGCAAATGCAAACTTGGAGTGGACAGTGTGGTCGAATATCTCCCAGCACTTTCCTCACATCTCACATCTCACAGCCTTTCCGTAGAAAGTACTGTGTGTCTAACCCGGATCCCACTATGGTAGTGGTCCTACCTTCACAATCTCGCTTTGGTTCTTCCATCTTTAAATTCTTATTTTTTGTGCTTTTCCCTCTTTTATGACCCATATATGTCTGTCCTTCTAGCTCTCCAGTTCCTTCCAACACTTTGCTGAGATTCTCAGGAGAGAGAGCATTAGCAGTTTGCCCCCCTGTCTCCACACACAAAAGTGTGTTATGAATAGAAATGTAAATGGCTCTAAATACCCAAAGCATGAAGAAAGTAGGCATTCTTTTTAAAGAAAGTCTGTAATACTTCATGGTAATGGAATCTGTGTTAATGGGAAAACTCGTCAGGGGTGTGGAATTTCTACCTGATGTTCATGAAGTGTGGGGTAAGAATTATGGGATGTATTAGTTACTTGTCTTGATGCTGTGCCGCAGTGACATACTCTTGATAAAAGCAGTTTAAAGAAGGGCTTCTTTTCGCTCACAGTTTCAGGTTACAGGTTCATCTTAACGGGAAGTCAGCTGGTCACATCGCATCTACAGCCTGGAAGAAGAAAACATTGAATGCTCCTGCTTAGCTAGCCTTCTCTGTTTTATTTGGCCCAGGGCCCAGACCCATAGAATGGTTCTGCCCATGTTCTGGATGCTTCTTTCCACCTCACCATAGTGTAGATAATCCCTCACAGATGTGCCCAGAACCTTGTCGCCTAGTTGATTTTAGAGTCTGTCATGCTGACAATCAATATTAGCTATTATATAGTTGATATTACATAGGGTTTTGCTGTTATTGACAGTATGTTTTTAGTCTCAGAAGCCAGAGTACTCAATAATGGAAGAATAAGTATACAAATTCAGTTTTTCTTAATTAGGTTAGAACAAAGAATTTTAGTCAGTTTTTCTTGCCAAACTATCTTGCCTTTTTCTTGATAAACAGTTTATAGGATTTCTATTTTCAAAGATATTTTATAGTCTGTATTTTACTTCTCACAGTGTCTTATTTAACCAAATTTGTAAATGTACAAATACACAGTGTTTTGTTTTGTTTAGCTTTTGCAAAGTAAATAAAAATGTCAGTGCCAGTAATCGTAAAATGAAATGAAGAAAGCAATTACATTACAGTAGCATCACAAAGAAAGTATTTAGGACTAAGTTTAACAAAAGAAGTTTCAAACTGGTAATTCTAAAACTAAAATAGGGCTATTAAGATGGGCCTGTGTGGTGGAAGCCAGCTATTTCAAGGTTGTCACCTGATCCCACCTCAGGAGCCTACACACATACATGTACACACAAAATAAATAGTATGTGCAAAAAGCAGGATATATCTCATTTTCATCTGTTGGAAAACAGTATTAAAATAACTTTCCAAATTGGACAACGTATGATGCCTACTTTTACAGAAATTAACAAGTAGATCTTCAAATTCCTAATGAATACAGTGGCCCCAAATAACCCAAGTGATTTTGAAAAACAGAGTTGTAGTAGTCAAACTTCTGATTTCAAAACTAAATATACAGCTCTGGTAATCATGTTGTAACTCTGGCATAAGACTTGCTTTCTAAATGACTGCAGAAGTCTGTAGTCTGTGGGTCTCTGAGTTGTTACACTGCTAGTATCTTCTTGCTTGCTTGTGAGGATGTCTTGCCATGGCCTTAATGCAGAAAGGAAAGCTGTCTCTGTGTCTGTGGATTGAGCATTGAGGGAGAAAGGAAAGGACGTGACCGCTCCTTGGTATGTGGTGGATGAGAAGGTTTATTGTAGGTAGATATGTGGGTGAGCATAGCCACAGGCAGGGACATCTGGGAGAGTCCAGAGTGAACCCGACCCTGAGACAGGTGGGGAAAGTGGGGATGGGAAGGGGAGAGAGAGTGTAGGACCAGGTGCAGCAGCCAATGGGCTCAAAGGTATAAAGAGAGCAGGTAACCAAAATGGCTGGAGTATATAGGGAAGGCAACTGGGGGAAGGACAGCCCAGCTACTGGGCTGGAGTTTAGGGTAGGCAGTAGGTGTGCTAGCTAGGGGGACCATGTAACAGGTAGAAGATAAGGGATGCAGGGAGAACTTGGTGACCAGTGTCCACTTCGATATGTTAAGTAGGCACTTCAGCCTTTGTCCCAGGTTTGAAACCTAAGGGGGACCACTTGGTTATCTGACAGTCTTAGATTTCGTGTACACCCAGGAAAAACTGATAAATGGCTTAGTTGGTGCGGTTGCAGGAGCAGCCTTTTCTTGTTGTTCTTGAAGCTGCCATGGTGCCTGATGTGTAAAAGCGGGCTATCTTCTTGTCTTTTTCTTTTTAATATCTGTGTATGCCAAACACCTACTACATCTCATTTACACATCTCATGTCTGTCTCTGAGTGGAGGTATTGTTATCATCCCCATGTTTTTAGATGTAAAATAGGATTTAGTGGGGAAATTAAACTAGAAGCACAAGAATAATGTCTACGTTACCTTCCCTTTTCATCCCTCCCCAATAATTTGATTAAATCTATGTTGTGAGAGGAGATGTATCTATGGCAGTATAAATTCTCCTTCCTTCCTTCCTTCCTTCCTTCCTGGTGATGGTGATGATGATGATGGTGAAGGAAATGTGCCATCACAGAGGGAGTGCTTGAAGTGGCCTAGCTTGCTTTTAATCACCTTTAATCTTGTTTCCGCACCTCCCCTTTCCCAATACTTCCAGTGTGTGCTGTTAGTAGCTTAAAGGGTTTCTTAGTTTCCCTTTTAATAGCAGCTTCAATAATATGAATTTTTATAGCTGTAGGTAGCTCTTATTCTCGGGACCTTGAGTGTAATTGCTTATGCTACTTATATTTGTCTTAACAAATTTCTTTGTAAGCTTTCTCACTTTTTAATAACAACAAAAGGTGGACTAAACGTTTTTCACTCTTAAAACTTTATTTTTGGTCACTTCCAGAAAAGAAATTATGAGGTGGAACTGAACAATGAGCCCCGTTAATACAAATGTTAGCTTGTCTGTTTAGCTGTTGTCTCAGTTTCCAGGATATGCCACTTAGAACTCATTCTGTCAGTCATTCTGGCTGTCCTTCCTCCAGCCATTCCCTCCCTTTCATATGCTAGATATGCTGTGTCGCTGCACTACGTCCACACACGCTGAGGAGTCTATATTTTCTCACATGGTAACTGATAGAAACAAGTTAAGTTTTATGACTTGATCATCTGCTGAGATTTTCATACCTTTCCTCATGTTCCACATGTATGATTATAAACACCCAGCCATTACAGTATTCACAAACACCATCAATACAGAAATAGTGCCAAAAGTTAATAGGGATATGGAGATGGGAGCAGGATTGTTTATACACAGAAGGATATTTTTATAATGCCTTGATTTCCTACTGTCAGACTCTTTACTATGTTTATTCCTCTCTAGTTATCAGGGAATATGAAGAACCGAAAAAGCATCCAGGAGCCTAGATTTGATTATTACAGCCACGAACTTCCTGATATTGACCTCAGTGAATGTGAATTCCCACATGTCATTGAAATTTATGACTTTCCTCAAGAATTTCGTACAGAAGACCTTTTACGGATTTTCTGTACTTACCAGTAAGTATTCGCAAGTGGTTCCAAATGACAGATAAGCTGAGAGAAAGTCATCTTAATATTTTTAAAAAGTCACTGATTTTAGCATCGGGTTTGTGTTTTGTTCAGATCCCTTAGAAAGTCTGTGAATCAGACTGGTCTTCAGTTCCTTGAAAGGGCTAGGCAGCCTTGGTAGATATTTACAAAGATCGTTGTTGGTGATGACTCTTGTGCTTCTAGTTTAATTTCTCCTAAGTCTGTCTTGGAGGTGCATTTGGTCCATTTATATCTGTTGTAATTACTGATGTATTTGAACTTACAACCAAGTATTTGTTTTATATTTGCCTGTCATCTCTTCTAAGACACGCTCCTATCTTTCCCTTCTTTTCTAGACTGATGGGTTGACTTTTTTAATGTAATGTTTCTGTTCCTTGGTGGTTACTCTAGAAATTATAAAAATGTGTGCTTAAACTATTAGTGGCTAAAACTGATTTTTATCCTTTGCCTCTTTCTTTTTGGGTGAGAAGTTAGCTGACAGTTTCCATGCCACTTCTGATTATAATCTCTTCTCTGGATGCTCTTAAGATTTTCTCTTTGACTTTGATATTGATCATTTTCACTGTGATGTGGATTTTGTACCTTTTTTTTTCAAACTTACCCACATTGCAATTATGTGGGCTTATTAAATCAGTGATTAATATTTTCATTGATTTGGTAAAGGTCTTAGACATTGTCTCTTCAGTGTTGCCTCAGACCCAATCTCTCTCCACCTTGTCCAAGACACAGATTGGGTGTGTATTAGATTTTCTCATTTAATTTTCTTGTTACCGCTCTTTTGTGTATTCCATCTCTTTTCCCCTCAGACTTTCTGAATAATTTCTTCAGCTTTGGAGCTCTAGTTTATTTTATCTATTCCAATCTGTTCTAAATTGTTAAATATTTATATTGTATCTTAAAAGTTTGTTTTATGATGCCTTGAATTTTTTTAAAGAAAAAAACTTTGAAAGTCTGCCTGGTCATTTTTTTTTTACAGGTTTTTTTTTCTCCATGTATCTTCAGTTTTCAATATTTATGTATAAATATGTATTTATAGGCAGTAAGGCCAATGAAAAAAAGAGAGGATCCCTTGTAAAACTTCTATGCCTTTTCATGTGCCACATGCCAAAAGTGTTAACAGTTCAAGAGTCTTCAAATTAAATTGTTGATTTGAGGTTTTTCTGACTGCTCAGAAAAAGTCAAATGGGGACTGTTTTTTTTAATTGTTAAATGCCACAGATGTTTTATTTTGACCCAAATAAGTGTCTAATTACTTTATGTCTAGTTGCACCTCCCTTTTCCTTTATGGTGTTGGTTAGACAGTTCCTGACAGTCGTCTCATACTACCTTTCTGTAATTTATAGATTCAGATCTTTAAAGAGACAAGAAATTTTAACAAATCTTCAGGGTTTTCTGAGTGAATAGTCCCATGGGCTGTTTTTTGTGTTGCTTGTTTTTAAAGTGACTTTTCTTTAGTTTCCCAAATCATTCAACTAACTCTTTTGCTGGTATTTGTTTGTTTTGTTTGGACAGGGCTGCCATGTAATCCCAGCTGGCCTCATACTCTTCCCTGATTCACCCTTTTGAGTGCTAGGATATTAACCATAAGATGCTTTTTTTTTTTGACTCAGTTCAGTTGTATACACACAACAGTTCTTTACACTCACAATTCATTCTGTTATAAATTATTAAATGTAGTGAGGAGTTCAGGGGTGTTACAAGTGGTCTTCAGAACATTTATGCTAACCCTTGGTATGTACGTGGGTGGTACATTTTAGAAGAAGGTAAAGGAATCAAAAGTATATATATTATTTCTAGCTTACAATAAAAAAAACAGACCCAGGAACCGAAAGCTAATCCTGAAGGTTATTAAGAAAAAGATGTTCAGAGTCTAGAAGAGAGTCAATATCAAGGAGTATACTTCAGTATTTCACTCCTGCTATTAAAAATGAATCAAGTCTATCTGGTGCTGCAAATTTAAACTTAAAATTCAGTTTATTTATATCCTAGATGCCCAGATTATAGAAATGCTCTGCCAGATCCCAACTTTACATTGAATTTGTAAGATTCTGTTTCAGAGCATAGCTCCTAATTCTTAATTAAAGGATCAGAGAGAGAATATTTCAGGTAGCTCTGCGCTGTCTCAGAACAGCCACAGACAGGGTGTGAGCAAATGAGTGTGGCTGAGAAAGTAAAACTTGATTTATAAAAATGGTTGGCTTTTGGTTTTGGTTTAAGATAGGATCTAGGTAGCCCATACTGTCCTTGAACTCTTGGTCCAGCACATTTGGCTTATGTCTTAGTCTCCTTATTCCTTATGTCTTAGGAAGAATCGTTCGGTAAAGTGCTAGAATAGATTAAATGAACTAGCAGTTATATACTTGTTTTATCAGTTAAGCTCCATTGGGGGAAGACAACTGAAAGGAAGCAGGAGTGGATTCTGGAAGACATTTAATCTATACCATGAACCTTACTGTTCATGTAGTGTAGGTAAGTTCTTCAGTGTTGTTAAGACCCAGTATCAGGTGCTGTTCAGTTCCTAATAGATCCTTAAGAGCAGTTAATAAGACTAAATCTCAAATTTGAGCTACTTTAGATTATTATTGATAAAAGTAGACTGTCATTAATAAAATGGGGCCATTTTGTCCATGTCCAGAATTTCTTCAGAGATTATTGGGTTTTGCTGCTATTTTTTTTTTTTGAGAGTTTCTTACTATGCAGCCTAGACCAGCCTTGAACTCAAAAATCTTCCCATCTTCACCTCCTCAGTGTTGAGTTTTAGGCATTCTGGGCTTAAGGGTAGTTAATTCTTTTGAGTCATTTACTTCTCTTTGCTAACTTCTCTTTCTAACTATATTTGTGAAAGCATTTTCTATAAAATCTAAAGCCATTCTCAAAAGGATTTAAAAGGACTAAAGTCTCAAGGGTTAAGACAAGGCTTTTAGCTGTCAAGGTCTTTCCCATCTTTTCTAAACTCTGCAGCAGAGGCTCTTACTATTGAACTTAAAGTTTTCACTCCTGTGGTCATTTTATAGCATGGTCCAGCTTAAGTCAAGTTTCCTTTATTACTTTTTCTGTTGAGGAAATTAAGAAGGGAAAGCTATTTTAGTATTTTTCTCTTATAGTGGTTTATAAGTTGTTAAAGGTCATGATGCAGAAGTGTATAATCATTTCTAAGTCAGATCCCAGAGTCAACTTTGCTTCATCACCATCTCCATCAACATTAATCTCCCTGGTGATTATTGCTATTAATAATAAAATTAATGAGCACTGTTGGTTTAAAAGTTGCCTTCTGAGTGCTCATTGTCATGGTCTTGGCCTTTTGTGGACAATCTCATTTCTGTTTTCCTCATCGATGGCTAGCTTCCATCGTGCCTCAAGGTGCTAGGCAGGCTGCCAGGAGAGAAAAAAAAAATACCAACAAGTCTTATCCAGTTGTGGACCCTGTGAACTACAGTAATGATTCCTGCAGCCAGATATGCCCATTGGTGCAATGGTAGTACACATGAATTGAGGTAGAGGTGGTAGCCACTCGCTGTCTGATTAGATTTAAGGTCTGCCTAGGAGGAGAAATTCATGCCTGGAACTGTGAACATGACTAAGAACCTGTAGCTAGAAAGGTCATAGACTCCAGGGGGAACTTACTACTGTCATTTTGCTCAGTTATAATATCCACACACCTTCTAAATGCTTAGGAGTTGGGCATGGTGAGGGTGGATTTAATCAAACTAAAATGTATTCATGCATTAAGGGAATTTTAAATATATATACATATATATTTAAATGTGTGTGTGTTGTAATCCTGATATTCTTTGTGCTCACTGTGTAGCTCTGTTTTAAACTAAAAAGGTAATTTATTTCTAGTATTAAATGTTCATTGTTTCTTTTTTGAATTTTTCTGGCTAACTATGGTTATTCTTTTCCCCCCACCTCCATATACACACACCTTATTTTCCTTCTACAACAAGAAAGAGTAGTAAGCATTTGTGAATATAGTTGTATTTTTTATTATTTGACTTACTTATTTTTACAGTTGAATTACGTCTCTAGCGGTAGTACCCATCCCAACACACGGGTTACATTTGCATCAAATCCGGTGACCCTCCCTGACTTCCTGTATTCCTCTTTAACTCCTTTGGCTTCCTTTTTCATCCCTTCTCATTTCTCCTCAAGGACATCTCTTGAAAATAGTGCATTAAATACTCCAGCAGATTTGTGAGGATTAATTAGTTGGCAATTATAAAATGCTCCCAGGTAATTCTTTATGATGGTATTATTGCTTTTAAGTTTTAGTGGCTTCTATGTGCCAGGCTGTTTTTATTTTTTATGTCACTATCCCCATTCCTCTATCTTATGAAATGCTTTGTAAGACTATTTTAAAGACATTTCATAAAACAAGTTTCAAGAAATGTAAAAATTGTTTTCTTTTGTTACAGAAAGAAAGGATTTGATATTAAATGGGTAGATGATACACATGCCCTAGGAATATTCTCCAGTCCAATCACAGGTATCTGTCTAGTGACTCTCAGGAATTCCAGGTCCCTCCTACTGTATATTTTCTCCTTCTTCTTGTTCTTATTTCTCTTCTTTTCCAGCCAATTGGAACTTTGCTCAGCCAGTATCTGTAGTAGAATAAATACTGTTTTTGAGACATGTGGCTTGGTACCCACATGTTCTCTTCTTCTTCTCTTTAATCTAGCATTTGGTATTTGGAAAGGTAGGTACATCCTTCCAAGCTATTTGCATACATAAATGTCAGGCATTATAAAGACCATAGTGAGACTAAATTTTACAATATTTTTTCTCTCAGACAAATGAATTTGAAATAGTGTATCTAGTGAGATTACTGTAGTAGCTACTCTCTGAATATATGATTGGTCTTTTGCACACATACATATGCTGGGCTCATAACAAGCTTATGCAGAGGAATCCACAGCAGTCAGAGATGCTGGCTTACTTGTTCTTGTCTGAACCATCTCTAGAGCATGGATTTTCATGGGCTAGATAAAATATTTTTGGCTTTGTGGAGCAAAAAATCTTCTGTCATTACCTCACCCAGCATTGTAGCAAAAAAGCTTCTATCCTCACCTAACCTGGGTATTGTAGCAAGAGAGCAGCTACAGTATGCAAATGGGTATGGCTCTGTTTCATAAAGTTTTATTTACAAAAACAGTCCATTGGCTGAGTTTGGTCTAATCTCTGTTCTAAAGTGATTTTAGTGTGCAGATGTTCTGTATTGTAGGATCTTCTTTTTTCTTGTCATGAAAACCAATAAACATAACTTCTAAGAATAAATGCTTTATAAGAAATTACCCTAAATTTTCTTCTGCATCACTTTACTTCCTTATATCTGTTTTTCCTTGCAGCCCGTGATGCTCTGGGGATTAAGCATACCATGGTGAAGATTCGGCCCTTGTCACAGGCCACAAGAGCAGCCAAGGCCAAAGCTAGAGCTTGTGCTGGTGAGCCCACAACCTCTGCCCTTGTTCCTGATAGATGGTGATGTCATTGCTCATTCCAGCAGCTTCACACCATCCAGAACTCAATAGACACTGTCTTTTTTTGTGCTAATACTTCTATTGATATGCTTTTAAGGACAGAAATAATGCCCTTTGAGCAGCCACTGGAAGTGTGGGAGAGACTAAAGCAAGCAGTACAGTGACCAGCTTCTGATGACATTTCAGTTGTTGGGTAGAGTTACTAAGAGAAACTGTCCTAATGCAGACAATGCAGCCAGGGTTGTTTGTGCTTTGCCATACTAATTTCCTCAGATCATCATCTGTCAGGGTTGTATTAATTACTGCTGATACCACCCTTGTTAGTCTGTTTTGTATGTTAATTACTGAGTTAAATCACTTGTTGCTGTAGTAGGTTCTCTTCCTTACTGCTTCTTACTCCTTTTTTTCCCCCAGAGTTTCTCCAGCCAGCAAAGGAGCGACCTGAGACTTCAGCAGCCCTAGCCAGAAGGTTAGTCATCAGCGCCCTTGGGGTTCGGAGCAAACAGAGCAAAACAGAGCGGGAAGCAGAGCTCAAGAAACTGCAGGAAGCCCGAGGTGAGTTGACAGTGGTCTCTGGTCCACAAGCGTTCACTTGGAGGCAGATGGTGAAAAAGAGAAAGGGAAAGAATGAGCTCCATTCCGACAGATCATTTCCATTTTTGAGGAATCTCTCAAATCTATAGAAGTTGTTTTCAACCCTTACATTCAAGAGATGCAGTCAGGATTTGTCTCCTGTTCACACACCAAGGCACCAAGAGTAAAAGTTCATTTACTCTTACGAAGAGATAGGCTCCACCTTCTCAGCTATTTCCTGGCTTTTCTACAGCTTGCTCCAAACTGAGAGAAAATTTTGCTCTGAAGACTTCAGTCTCCCAGACCTTGTTTGCTATGTTTTTATTGGGCCATGACTGTGCCATAATGTAATCAAATGGCTTAGATCTTTGGTAGAATTCAAATTAAGGAAGATCCAGTGCCTGATACTAATAGATAATGACCGTAGCAGGGATTTTTGTCTTAAGACAGTCTGAGATCCACCTGTCTTCTGAGTTCTTTCTAACACTTAAGAGTTTTCAGAAAATAATTCCACAGATCCACAAGCAGAGTTTTTCTTTCTTAGAGGTTGGAGTCAAGCTTAAAATATATCTTCTTTTTATAAACTGTTGAGTTCTTTGTAAAGACTTGGACTCGGACTTGACACAGAAGTGTTCTTTAATCAGCCTTCAGGCTTTAGACGGGCGCTTTGCTTCTGCTCAGTGTCTATAGAATCAGGGAGGACAGTTCTGAAAATTTCACTTACCAAAAAGTCACTTCATTTTTTCCCTAGACCAACTGAAGTTTCAAACTCCTTGTTTATTGCCAGTCTAAGAAGCCATTAATACTTCCTGTCCACTATGCTTTGGTGACAACAAGCAGCTCTGGACTCTCAGCTGCACCGGCCAGATAACCAATGAGTGAGAGCATCGTGGCAGGTGTTAGGGTTTTAGAATTGGACCCAACTAATTTACCTTAATGATTATAATGAGGCAATTTTGTTTTTGTGTTTTTTCTAGCGCATTGTTCATTAAAAGGTTTCTTAGAAGAAGGAAAGGATTGCTTTTGTTTTTATAGATGGTAAATAACAGAACTGGATTAAAGTAGAATGTGTGGCATTCTTAATCCTCTGTTAATTTATCCCTGAAGAAAATGACTCTTGGGTGGTAACTACAGTTATCTCAGAGGGCCAATAAAAGGGCTTGGGAGCTGTAGCCCAGTTGTAAAGCATTTGGGTAATATGCCCCAAGGCCTCGGGTTCAGTTCCAGCAATGAACAAAAAGCAAGCCAAAAAGGGTGGGTAGAGGGTAATGACAGTGGTATCTAGTGAAGATATGACTCCTTCTGCATATGTCATGCCTTCCTGTAAATACCACTGTGTCTCTCTGAGTACTGCAGCTGTTGCTTTGCTTGAATAGTATCTGTGTGTCCTCTAGTTCTCGGCAGGCACATCAGCATACTGTTTCTCCTGAAGTATTTGCTTTAAATGCTTTGTTTCCCAAAGGACATTTCCATGGTGCAGTTTAAAAATGAGACTGTTGGCCGAGTGAGCACCCTGTTGCTTTTATTTGTTTTTGAAATGGAGTTTTACTCTGTAGTCCTTGCTAGCTAAAACTTACTATGTAGCCTAGGCTGCTTTTGAACTTACTGGAGTCCTACCTCCGATTCTGGGGCGCTGGGATTATAGATGTGAGCTGCCACTGCCATGCTAGCATCTCTGTTACTTTTTTTAAATGGAGAATATTTCATTCATATGTATTTGTTTATCTGCAATGGTGTTCTCATTGTTGCCTATGCTGAATTTGTAACCATCCTGCTCCAGCTTCTCAGCTTCCCTGGTAACTGGAACTCGAAAGGGGTTTGGGTTGTAATAACAGACCAAGGGTAAGTTCTCTCTGTTAATGTGTGGATTACAGAAGACCCTCTCATTAGTCTACATCTGGGCTCTTCTGTTCTTTGCGTCTGAGAAAGGGAAGTTGGAGAATTTCTCTTTCTGGCATCTTTTGTACTGATAATTCTTAAGGAGTTGTGTGGAGTCCAGGCATTTCACTTAGATGTGTTCTGTTCCTCTCCTTAAGACTTAGAGTCCAGTGGGGACTATCTGCATTAAGCAAACCACAAAGCAGGGATTACATTAGATATTTAAGCAGTCGTTTTCCTTTCCATAGCTTCGCTCTCCTACTGCGCTTTCTCCTCTTCCTCTCCAGGTGGTGTTGGGATTGGACACAGGGCCAGTGGAAGTCAAGCATTCTGTCACTGAGCTATACCCCAGCTTCTCCTCTCCTTTTGTTTCTGAAAATTTTTAGTATAAGAAGTGGATAGGAAGGTTGTGCTGATGAAAAGGACAGGAAGGAGGCTCATAGTGTCATTTTGATATCATTGTCTTGATACCTCTAATTCAAGATACTGTCTCCAGTTCAGAGCTGGCCCCAGGAAGTTGTCAGTCCTAGGTTACCCACCTAGGAAAATGAGAAGAGAGATTTGAATGTAGGCTTCTTTAATTAAAATTTATACATGTTTTTCCTATGCTTTGAAGGGTTTTGGAGACAACTGCTATTTTCTCAAAAAAAAAAACAAAAACTACCTTTGTAAATAAAATTTTTAAGTCCTCAGAGAATGTACTATAATAGGCTTCTTTTAAGTTATAGATACCAAAGTTAGCTAACAACTTTAGTATGGCTTTATTTCTTTAGTATGACTTAAATCTGTGTAGTAGTTTAAACATGTTCCTCCTTCGTTTTTTCTAATTTGTTTTTCTCTTTGTAACAGCCTTGGCTGTCCTGGAACTCGCTCTGTAGACCAGACTGGCCTTGAAGTCACAGATCCACCTGCCTCTGCCTCCCAAGTGCTGAGATTAAAGGTGTGCGCTGCCATTACCCAGCCTTCCTTTTTTCTTAGCAGAAATCTAGAGCATCTAAATGTCATTCTGTACTAGCAGCCCTTTACTATAAAGACAAGGGCAGATCATTAAGGAAATAAAGGGATCTGGGCTGTAATAGAGCTGTTGTTAACTATCTGAGTGACTTTAGGCAGGTCAGTTATCACTCTTTGCCCACTTTCCAACTAAGTGGAAGTAATGCTTGTTCTGCCTAACCATGGAGAAGTTTTTGAGCACAACATAATGAATGTGTAAAAATGCTGAGAAAGTGCTTTACACATTCAAAATACTGTTCTGTCTTCTGTGTTTAAAATATGACATGAGTCAGTGTGTGTGTGTGTGTGTGTGTGTGTGTGTTGTGTACTGCTGTTCTTCCGTTACACATAGGAGATGTTGCTGATTAGTCGTGATAGTTTCTCTCTTGGTAACTGATCAGAATTTGCATGGACCGTAATCTATCCCCTAGTCTGTCATAGATTCTTTCATTAATATCGTGTCATAATCTGACCCTTCTTTGTGTTGCATGAAGAATTCTATTGACTGCCATGTTGTTGAGGACAAAAAAAGGTACACAACGTGTGCTCATTTTCATTTTCTCTGTATGAATGATGTTGGTTTCTTTAGTTTTTCTTATGCTGAGCTTTCTCCACCACCATTCCCAAAACACACAAATTGAACACAATTAATCTTTTGAGTTTTTCTGATCGTATTTTTTTTTTATCCTACTTGGAGCCTACTAACATTTAGTGGGGCAGCTTATATCTCAGTCCTTTAAGGGAGATTCACAAACGAAAGCTAGTTCTGAAAGAGTTGAAAAGGAAGTGCCAGATCATTTAAAGCAGATAACACTGTGTGAATCAAGAGGGAGGCCCTTTAGTCCATTGTTCTTGAGCATGAACAAAGTCTTCTGGCCAGCAGAGTACACAACAGATCAGAGCTGTACTCAGAATGGGGACTGGAAGCATAGATATCTCTGAGTGCTTTGGACTAGTCTTAATCAGGTGCTTTCAACTGGTGATTCATGCTGAATGACGAAATCATATAAATAAAGGACTGAACACAAGAATATCTGTGAAATTTTTTTATGTTTGTTATTCCAAATATTGTATTGCTGACTAAAATTAGAAATGTATATCATTGCTTCTCAGAATAAGCTGCACTTTCATCGTCAAAGTCTGCTATAATTATATTTCATAATTTAATTTTACTTTATTCTTAGGAGTAGGTGCTTAACTGCCTGGTTCTAAAAGGCCAACATTGGTTCATAGGGCTTAAAGCAGAGGAAGTAAACCATTTGATCGTGTAGTTTGATTGGTTCAATCACTACGAACTTGGAATCATCTGGACAGTGCTTGCTCTTTTGTAGTCAAACAGATTTGCCCATGGTAACTAACTCTGGGAAGCCTTCTTATGCATTCCATTATTCCTCAGTGCTGCATTACTGACCATAATCAGATTTCTAAGGGATTTTCGTGGCTTTTTTTCCTGCCCTATTATCTGAAGTCCACTTCATTTCTAACCATATTATAAATATGTGAAATTTTTTGCAGATGTGTAATATTTACCTTTTTATTTTTATTTTTATTTTGGTTGCTTCTAAGTCAGAAACAAAAACTGTCAACAGTGGGACTAACTGACCATGTCAAGCCTTCTAAAATAAATAGTACATTATTCCTTGTGCTTAATACATTGCAAATAATTTTTAGTTAAATGGGTCCTGATGAAGTCTGGATTGTATTTTCCTAGTTGTACTGATGCTTATATAAATACTTGATAAACTTTATCTGAAGCCTTGCTAAAATTAAGAGGTTATGTAGACTGCTTACTTCTCCTTGATCTGCCAAGTCTGTCGGGGAATAAAGGAAGGCAATTACATTTGCCCAGGCTTGTTCTTCACAAAGCTTGCTGATTATTACTCTGTAGGTGGCTACAAGTGGGCTTGGTGATCATTTTTAAAGTGTCCAAGTAAATTTTGAAAGTCTTTAATTTGCAGCCCTTCTCTTTCCTTCCCTTTTCTTGCCAAATAAAGCATGACCCCAGAGTGTTCCCTTTTCAGTCTCCAACACTTCTCCTCCCTCAGTGAGAAGCAGGAGCTGACTGCTCCCTGATTTCAATCATCTTGTTCAATAGGCATTTCTGTCCATTTATTTTTCATACTGGGATGGAAGTCTTCAGGGCCAGTTGATGTAAATGTTTCAGGTTAATCATTCACTTCTAATGTTCTGTTCTCTCAGTTCCTTGCTCTCACAGCTGCTGTGGGCTGTTTAGTCAGTTTACTTTTTTATTTTTAATAAAGGCAGTGTTAATGATAGCTTTTTTAATGCAGTCAGTCATCTAAAATTCCTTTGAAAAAGGAACATGTTTCTATCATTTAATTTTTCCACATGCTTTTCCTTTTTGCTATTTTCAGATGTCAGGAGCGTAGAAAGCATGCTGCTGAGTGAGGACCTGGGTTCCAGCCTCAGTTCTTCCTGATTATTTAGCCCTAGCCAAGTTACTCCATCTCTCCGGGCCTGTTCCCCGTCTCAGGAACATTGTTGCATTGCTTACACGTCCCATTTGACCATGTCCCTCTGGGTTTCGTATGCTTCATGTTCTCACTACTTCTTTGTGCTTCTCAGTTTATTTTCCTGCTCTTTAACCAGTATTGCATGTTTTGACACAAGAATTTACACATGCACCGAGAGTTAGGAGGTTTTTTGTTAGCAAGCATTTATCAGTAGACATATTTCAAAATGTGAAACTTCTCTGACTTCACAAAGATGACACAGTATCTGTACTGTGTTTTATAATACTGGAGGCAAACATATTCACACCGATATGTCTAAGCAGAGCGTGTGGCGAGTCACACTAGTAAGCCGTGTGAGACCAAACAGCCTCATCTGGTTAGATTTGCCACCAACAATGAATTTTGACCCAAACTTTAAAATAAAAGACAAAACTTCATCTTCAGAGCTGTTTTGATTTTGAACTCATGAATTATAGGTTGGTCATATTTTTCTATTGTTTAATAGATAATATTTCTGATTTGTTTTCTATCTTAATGAAATTTTTTAGTTCTAGTAACTCATTTTCCTGGTTTCTTTGTTTTTCCTTGGAATTCACAACCAGTTTTTGACTAATTTCATCCAAGACCGCTTTGCATTTAAATCTTACCTAATTTGTCTCTTTTTAAGACTCAAAACCATACTACTTTCTTAAGTAATCCTGGCATCCTTTGGATAAGTCCATTATCCTTGGCATTGCTCATGCAGAACCAACCCAAACCTGCCTGCTTTGCAGCTGAGTCTTAGTACTAATCAACCTTCTGTTCACAATTTGTTGATCCTCATTTTTTGCCTCATGTAACTTTGCTGCTATATTCAGATGATGCCACAAGATGGTGCCCAAATAGCAAGGAATTTCTCTGTCTCACATTCCCAAGTGTCAGTTTCTCAGCCAACTTCCTTCCCCTAAAGTACAGTTAAGTATAATTCAGAGAGTTTGTAAGTGATTTTGCTGATTTGGAAGATAGATTGAAATGGGAAGTGTTAATTCTAAACTCACCTTGATTTCTGTAATCCACCTGGTTCGTGACTTGAGGAATCTTTTATAGACTTCAGTCTAGAACAAGAACTCTTAAAGGGAAGCAGTCAAGGCTTATGATGTGCATTTTCTAGTGTTAAGGTAAACGGCTGTCAGCTGTAAAGTGAGAACCAGTGTACTCTTTACATTGTAATTAATAACAGTAGCAAAATTATAGTTATTAGTGGCGATGAATATAATTTTATGGTTGGAGGTCACAACATAAGAAACTATATTAAATGGTTGCAGCATTTGGAAGGTTGAGAAACACTGCTCTAGAGCATTTCTGGTTCCTGAAGGCAGAATTCTGGCACAGGTTTGCCTCTGAATTGTTTCTCATTAAACTTATAGTAGGGAAGTAGTGAAACCCACAGGATGCTGCTGCCATTTGAGCAGTTTGAAAGGTAAAAACATATTAGTGACTTAGTGGTTAAGAGCACTAGCTACTCTTCCGAGGACCTGGGTCTGATGCCCAGCACCCAGCTCTTCCAGAGGACCTGGGTTCAATTCCAAACACCATATCATGGCTTACGACCATTTGTAACTCTAGTTTCAGGGAATCCAACCTTCTCTTCTGGCCTCCAAAGGCACTAGGCATGCAGGTGGTACATAGACATACAAGCAGACCAAACACTTATGCACACAAAAATAGATAAAGCATTATTAGTCCATATTGAAATGGTTTTTTTTGAAAAATGTTCAAAACACAAGGAATTATTGGTAGTTACTTGAAAGTACCAAACACACCTGAAAAGTAGACTTAAACACCTACTAGCAAGACTAGCAGCTGAGTCCTACGAGGTTCTGACTTATCATTATAGTTTTATTTTTTTCAAATCATTACCTGTTATTCAGAAACCATACAGTGGGGGTCTGAGGAAATGGCTGATTGTGTTAAGATACTTGTCACTAAGCCTAATGGCCTGAGTTCGATCTTCACTCTTCAGGGTCCACCTTGTAGGAGAGAACTGACTCTTACACGCTGTCCTTTTACCTCCACATGTCATTGTGGCATGCACACAAATGAACACACATACTATAAATGCTGTGATAAAGACTGACCAAAATCAACTTGGGGAAGAAAGGGTTTATTTCATCCCTGAGTCATAATTTATCATTGAGGGAAGTCCGACAAGAACTCAGGGCCGGGTACCTGGATGGGAACGAAAGCAGAAGCCTGGCAAGAATGCTACTGACTCGCTCCTCGTGGCTTGCTCAGGGGTGGCACCACCCACAGTGTTCTGAGCAGCCCTCCTGTATCAATCACTGGTGCCCCATAGACTTGCCTACAGGGCAGTGTGATGAGGCATTTTTTTTTCAGTTTAAGGTCCCTCTTCCCACATGACCTGAGCTGTGTCAGATTCACAGGAACTAAGCGGTGCAGTTAACCTGAAGCTGAAGCCAGTGGTACAGTGTGTGTTTAATGTGTGTGAGTTTTATCTTCAGCATGACAAAAAGAAGAGGAAAAATAAAGAAAATAGGGAAAGGGGTAGAAAGGAAAAACTAAAGAATAAACTGTCTTAGAGTAGTATCAGTCCTGTAAATCACTTGGAAAGTTAAAAAGTTCTTAACCTCTGGACTCAGGTGAACTGGTCAGGAAATCTACCTGTCTCATGAGTAAAGTTTGTCTTGTTATTTTATTAAAGGAGACTCACTGACTATGTGAAATATATGGTCATATGATTAACATTGACCTTTATTTACAGAGAGAAAACGGTTGGAAGCCAAGCAACGGGAAGACATCTGGGAAGGCAGAGGCCAATTTGCAGTTTGAACATCACTTACTGAAAGGATGAATCCATGAATTAGGAAATGTGCTCATATTCTTGAGTCAAGAAGATCCTTCCAGAGCTGTGTCCATGCAGATGAGCATGTTAAAGAAATGTGAACAAAATACTGGAGGGCATAGCAAGAACAAGGAGTCCTGTCCTCACCCTAAAGTCGAACTGTCCTCCTGTGGTAGATGCTAAAAGGAAACATCAATTGAGAAGAAAAATGGAGCACATGACTTCTGAGAGTCCTCTGGTTAGAAGAGGTCGTGTTAGTGTGGGTCACACTTCCAGCAAGTCTAAAACAAGTACAGAGCAGAACAGGATCCAAGCCTGCAGTGGTAGGAGTTGGAGGCCCACGTGGCAGAGTATTCCTTAGTATTTGATGAAGTTGAGAACAGCAGAGGGGGCAGTGGTGGGAAGCTGTTCACAGAGATGGAAGTGCCTGATGTACTCGGCAGATAATCTACACTGCTGGCTCTGAAGCTCTAAAACCAGTGAAGCGCAGCACATGTGGGTGTTTGGACTTCTGAGTTTGTACTAAGCTTGGTGCCTGGTACTGCTCCAACTGCATGGCAGCCAGGGGTCTCTCCCTCCTTCCTCACAGTAAGCCGGTCCTAAGGAGCTGAGTGCCAGCTCCAATTTAAGCAGTAATGTGTTGTGAGAAGGCGAGATTAAAGACTATTTTACAATATTAATCAATCTGGTGTTTATAAGTTTGCTCCCCACCACCACCACCCAAAGCCCAACAACAGAAGAAGAAAAAAGAAAATCCATAGATGAGCTCTCTAATCTTCATGTCTCTGATGCCATTCATGGTTTAAACGGGTGCTGCTTTTATCAACCCCCAGTGAATAGAGCGTCCGCCCCATCTTTTGTGCCCCAGAGTGTGCTCCCAAGTGACCGTTCTGGCATTTCTGTGTGACAGCCTCTCCTGCATTGACCTCCTTATCTTTCCTCCAACCTCTTGCCTTTTCCATAGCTGTCAACTCTGACACCCTGCAGGAAGCATTGGCACCCAGCATGTTCTTGGTACAGCCTTAGCCTGTGCCAGAGGCACTTGGCAAGCAGCACCAAACCATACAGTGCAGCAGTGAGCTGCCAGGCTGAAATAAACACCTCTAGGCAGTGAGCAGTTCCCAAAAGGACGTGAACAGGTCAGCACCACCAGCTCAGGCCTTTTCTGTCTCACATCTGCCTTCTTCATAGTTTAGAAGGGAGTTCTGGACTGAAGAAATGGTAGTGCTTGTCTTTGGGGTGCTGAGGAGGCGGGAAGTGGTGTCATACTGTGCTCTCACCAAGGGCAAAAGCCTCCTCTTATGCCCATGTCGATGCTAGGTTATTAGCTTTGTGTAGAACATGGTAGAATGGGGCTCTTCAGATATTCCTCAGGTGACACTGGCCTTGGGTCTGAGTCTTGACCTATCCTGTCACAATTCTTTAGCCTCTCTCTCTTTTCCAGTGACCCTACACAGTGAGTGCCACCACTCCCTATGTGGGGAGTACGTTGTTGTGTTGGTCCTCTATCTCCACTTAAGTCTTTGACCTGTACCTCTAGGGCTCCTGCTCTGTCGTCAGAGAACAGACCTATCTAATAGCGGTACGTCTGCTTCAACAGAGGGTACGATGAAAGAAAATGCCAAGGATTCTATCGTTGACATTATTATTATTATTATTATTATTATTATTATTATTAATTTATTTGTATCAGTGTTTTGTCTGCATGTCTGTGAATGCCTGGTTAACTGTGGAGGCCGAAGAGTGTGTCAGATCTCCTGGAACTGGAATTACAGATGGTCATGAACCACCATGTAGATGCTGGGCATTGTACCTGGTCCTCTGGAAGAACCAGGCTCTTAACTGTTGAGCCATCACTCTGGCCCCAACATTGCTTTATACTTCTAAGGCACATACTTACCGTGTTTTGGCGCCCTACCCAATGTTAGATAGCAGACCTACAGCCACACATATGCTGAACATGACCTCTGAGCTATACTCTCAGGCTGTGTTTAGACAACAAATGGAATAATCTTATCACTTGTCTGTGAAAGTACTTCTTGTTCACTGTTTAGTGCCCTTTAAAGCATTGTTAATGATATGTACAGCCCCATGAGTAATACCGAGGTTTTAAATAAGTCTCATCATTTCCAAGACAGTTGTTTTTTCATCAAGTGTTCTAGCAACTTCTCTTCCATCTGATGGTCAGCTACTTTTAACTCTCATGGTTATTCTTATAGTCAGTCTCAGAGAATAAATTGTTTAAATCAACATTTGAAAGTTATGTGACATTACTGTTTTGCTTATAATTAAAATGTACTTTTTGCTTACATTTTTCCAGTGGTTGGGGTTGCTGTGTATTGGCCAGCGGTAAGAAGTCCTGGGCGTGGCCTAGGACAGACTGCCTTGAGCTCATGCATGGAGGATCAAATCTCTGGTCATGTCTAAGCTGAGCTTCCTCAGAGCAGTGAAGAGAGGTGTGCACTGTCTCATGCACCAGACCTCTCTAGAGTCAGCAGAGCCATTTGAATGGGGTGGCCTCTGTGAAAGAAATGTTAGCTATTAGGGCGGCATCTCATGATCTCTGCTGTACATACATGTTTGTGTACGGTGACCATCTAAATCTCAGGGTTATGCAAAATTTATAAGAGAAAGTTACAGTTCCTGTGGATTCTAGTTTTTCCTTTATACCATGAAGCCCTTTGTGACATTAGGAGGTTTCCCTGAGGCCACACAGTGCCAGGGTGAACATCTTCTGAGGTTTTGGTCTGTCTGGAATTTGGCGGTTGGTATTCTGTTAGCATTCCTCATCTAGTTATGTCATGCCAGCCACCAGCCTTTCTGTGTCTTTCTCTTTCAGCTCAGAAGTTTAACAGCCCAGCCCTTGTATCGCTTTTTCCAGGAATTAGAACCGGCTGCACCTACCAGCCATGTGATGTGGGCAGGGAGGCTGAGGACCATGCTGCTGGTTACTATCCGCCTGGCCTGTTTTTTCTGGCCTCTTAGAAACTAGATCTAACAAGAAGCCGAGGGTAAGCTCCCTGCCCAAATCTAGTCATCAATCTCCACTCCCACCCCAACCCCCAGCTAGCCGCACATTCTTTCTCAGACCATTAGCTTCATGTGTGAGTATAATGTTGTCACTGTTTGCTGGACCCGACAGGAAATCAGTCCTTCCCTTGTTTACCTAAACTAAACTACTACACCAAAATAGGCTTCCTCGGCCAGATGAAGGAGACGAGAAATGGAAGAAATGGAGAAGGGAGCTTTGTATTCACAGCCGGTACCCCTGAAACGTGTCGGGGTACCTCGTTTACTATCAGGGTAGCTCATGTATTGGGGGGAGGAGCATCCTGTAAATCAGCTCTTTCTGCTACCATTCATTTGGTTTTGTAGCCTCTATCATATAAGTTTACGGTCTTTGGATTATACCTTCTTACTCCTCCCCATCACCTCTCAACCCTTCTGCCCCGTTTCAGTGTTGAGCCTGGGGTAGGGGTGGTGATTGTAAAGCAGATTGGTGTCTGACTCAAGAAACAGCCTGGGATGGGCTGTACCACGGAATCCGTCTGTCCATCCTGGTCCAGCTCTGGAGGGAAGAGGGCAGAGTGCAGTGCACTGGAAGCTACAGCACAGCTGGGCTAGTCTTTGTAATGAGAAAACTTTATTGGCGTTAGAAAGACCTAGAAGGATCATCTGTGTGCATGTCAGTAGAGAAAAGGTCCAGACATGCCCAAGAAGACCCTGGGTTCTTATATCACCTGAGCAAGAATGGAGCACAGCCACCTCACATGTAGTCGGTGGCCTTTCCCAGGCTTGGCCCTTGACTAAACTAAGTGTTCTCACTTCTGGTTTCCCCAGTCTTCTTTTCCTAACTCTACCAGACCTGTCTTTGTGTTCCTGAAGAGTGACTTGATTGACACTTTCTTCCCAATTGCAAAAGTTTAAGGTAAAGTGGCCTTGGTTAAATCTGAAATTTAGGCTAACCCTGGGATGTGAGTGATCCTAACAGAGACAGGACTGCCTGCCAGATGTGGAACATGCTGCTGTCTCCTTTGGCAGAGGCCCTGACAGAGACAGAGTTTGTGTGACCCCAGCTGTCTTCTTGATCTCTTGCTGCTCTGCAGGAAAGGCCCTGTCGTGCCGTTCCTGTGAGACTTGCCTCCCACCCCAGCCCCAGTAACGAGGGGTGGTTGATCCATCAGGAAATGGAGGGAGGCCTGAGAGTTCGGGGGTATTAGAGACACCTGGTGTGTGACAGAATAAAGAGGCTTCAGAGGTTGAGGTGTGAGTTCTAAGTGGGAATAAGGTGAGGGACTGCATTCACCAACTTCTCTGCCAGATGTGACTTTGACACCATTATTTGCACAGAGTTTGTAACAGAGAGCTGACTCCACTTCTTGTGTTCTTTGGTCCTCTGTCCTCGCTCCTCCAAGACATCTACGTGGTCCTCAGAGCACCACTCAGATGGGGCCTTGACCACAGTTCATCCCTAAGGAACTTAGAGCTCCTGAAACTGGGAACTGTGCATCAAGTTTTAAAACAGAGTCTCCTTAAGGAAGAGAAGGCTTAGCTGGCCAAAGCCTCAAGGCCATGCTATATAGGCCATAGGCACTAGGAAGAGGCTTAGAGCCATCCTGAGAGTGCTGCCATCCGGGGGAGTGATCTGGCCATCAAAAGGCTTCCTGAGCAGGTTCTCGGTGCTCCTTGTCACTGGCCCCTTGTCCTGTGCGTCGGGGCTCTGCGAAGGGCACGGCTCCCATAAGCTGAGGTATCTGGTGTGTAGCTGAGCTGGCACTGTGCAGTACTGGCTTAGATCAGGTTGTTCCTGAGCCGCTGTTCTTGCTCCAGGGAGAGCTCTGCATTGGGTCGGTAGGAATCTCCTGTGGGCCAAAGGAAAATAGCTAAGTAGCCAAACCACGACAGCCCCTTTCCATCCGGCCAGTCATGGGCACACTCAGTCTATCGAATAGAAAGGGCTAGCTAGTGCTTTGCTCCCTCTCCAGGTTCATTCTGTGCCCTGGGAACTGGCCACCCTACTTGCCTTGTCCCCTGGTTTCTACCTGGAAACTCAACAGCAACAGGAGGTTGGGAGTGGGTGGAGAGGCCAGCCATCTCCTCTGCTGTGGGTCTGGAGGGGCAGGGATTGCCCGTGACTACAGCTCCAGCCTGCTTCACCCTCCTCCCTCCATGGTGCTAGCTGTCGCCTGGCTCCCAGATGGCCCTTCCCCCTGCAAGCTTACAGGGGATAGCAGTGTTCTGTTCCTTTATCCCTGGGCTCAGTGTCACTTGTTTCCTAGGCCTCTAAAGTGCTCCTGTCACATAGCTTCAGGTGCATTGCAGTGAGCTCTCACATTTGTGTGAGGAGGGCTCTACCTTCTGGCATTGTTTTTCTGTTCCCTGGTTCCCTGGCAGGCCAAATATGGAGGCTCTGTTGTCCCAATTCCTTTCACATTCTTGTTTCAGGTCAGCAGAGTTTACTGAGTTACCAGATGTGAAGCTTAGATGCTCCTTCTCATCCTCTGCCATTTGTTGGCAGAGTTACTTTGAAAACAAATGAGGCCAGGGATGTAGCTCAGTGATAGGATGCCTGCCTAGCCTGTGGAAGACGCACCTGGGTGAACTCAGTACCATGGAAGAAATTTGAAAACAAACAAACTTTGTTCCTTGACTGAAATTTGTCGTTGGTTCCTAGAAGCCCATGGGATGTAGGTGTCAGTGTCCCTGTTTCAGAGATGGAAAAACCAGGAATTGCTCCCTGTCGCTGAATCAGGACCCCAACCCCAGGGCCTTGGAATCCTGGAGAGCACTTCAGTGATCTGGAAGCTCATAGTCTGTTTCTAGAAAAGAAAGCTACCCAGGCAGAGCAGCATGTGTCTGTCTTCAGTAATGCCTGGACCCAGGAGGCTGAGGCAGAGGGTGCTCCAAGTTCAAGGCCAGCCTGAACTGCATACCAATACTTTCAAACAACAAAAATTTTTAATTTTAAAGGAAAAAAATCTGTAGCTGGAGGGATGGCTCAGCAGTTAAGTGTGTACACTGCTCTTGAGGTCCTGATTTTGGCTCCCAGCACCACACTGTAGGGCTTACAGTGGCCTATGACTCCAGGTCAGGGGAATCCACTGCCTCTAGGCTCCATGGGCACTTTGCACTTGTGCATATACCTTCACACACACACACACACACACACACACACACACACACACACACAC